ATTGTCTATCTGTTTTTTTAATTAAATTTTTTTCTTAAGGAAAAATATTGGTTTTTTTTTTTTTTTCAAAATGGTCTTTGTCATATTTTGTCAAAGCTTTAAATGTGATTTAATTGGATTACCTAAACACAAATGTAAAACTGCAGGAAATAGCATGTTTTCTTTTCCTTTGTCAAATATGTGTAATTCTTAGATCCAAATCTACAATAGGACTGTTTGCTTGACAGTGTTTATAGATAGACAGTACAAATAGACTGCATTAAAGTTTTAATTTTCTCCCAAAGTAAATACTCTTTATAATATTTCAACTCTTAGGCTGCAGGTTTCTCACCTACAAAGCTCCCAAGCTCCCTAACAGGCATATCTGATGAACTTTCATATTTTCAGTTACCCGTGATGTGTTAATCCATGCATATATATGCATCTTTCAAAAATCCCGTGACCACTAAAAATAGTCATTGTCACAGACCACACAGACCCACTCCTATTCTGATGCTACTACACCAAGAGGTAATTTTGGTTTCGTAGATTTTAATTTGGGGGTTCAGATTTTAGGGCCACAGACAAATTGAGAGGAATGTTCAGAAATTTCCAATGTACCCTTTGTGTCCACCCTCAACCGTATACACATATGCACAGCCTCTCACATTATTAGCCTCCCACACCAAAGTAGTACATTTGTTAAAATTAACAAACCTACGTTGACACATCGCACTCACTCAAAGTCCATGGTTTACTATAGGGTTCACTCTTGTATATTCTATGGGCTTGGACAAATGTATAATGACATGTAGCCATTACTGTGTATTCATACAGATATTTATATTGCCCTAAAAATCCTATATGCTCTCATAATTCATCCTAGGAAGTAATTTTGGAATTTGGAATTATTCTGCACCTCTTGTATTTGTCCAACATCTTATATTAATAAAGTTTATTTATTATGGTAATTCTGTTGATTTCCTATTTCAATTTTGTGGCTAATGGATTTTTCATGTTATATGCAAAAAAAAAATTGTGTTCTTTTCAACCACCATCCACTTTTATTTAATTAAATATTTTTTTTCATTAAAAAAACTATAAATGTGGTATTATTGAAAACCTATCCTAGATAGTCAAATCTTGAACAATTATATATTGTCATCAGTCCTGTGGTGGGCAAATCATTTTTCATTGGCAAAGACCTTTGAGTGCTGATCGTGAACTATCTTCTCTGCTGGTTACTATGAACTTCGTATTCTAAGGGACTTCTGTGTTTTCAGTATTGACTGGTCTTTGTTTTCCACAAAAACAATTTATAGTTCATTTTCAGATAACTATACATATGGTATTTGTATTTTAATTAAAAAGACTGTTGTTATGTCTGATTCTTATAAGCAGAAATTCATTATAAGGACACTTCTCATTTCCTTGAAATGTTCCCTTTCTGTTTTTCCAGGGTTCTTAAATTGCAAGAGCCAGTTAAATTATGTGCTTTGGGGAGTTAATTTTTGGCACCATATGTCTCTAAAAATGATTTAATTTTATCTAAAGTATGTTTCCAATGATATTTATGTTCTGTAATGCACAGAGACAATTTAAGAAATTTTAAAAGAAAAAACATGCTAGTCTATTATTATTTCAACACAATAGCATACATACAATGTATGTATAAGCTTAAAATTTTGTTATTTAGATTAATATATTCTTCATAGAGCTCTGTGGTTGCCTTTTGAAACTATGAAATTCAGATTCCCATGAAAACATTTTATGTATGTTAATCTTTAATTCTGTATGAAGTAATTATGAAAGTACTACCCAGTAACTGTATTAATTGTGTGTGTGTATATGGAGGGGTAGATAGATATACCAAAAATATCAGACAATTTATTAAGCATCTAGTAATAGTAATTCTTTCCTTATTGTAAACTTAGTTAACATTTTGAACATTTATTGTAGGTAAAAATCACATTTAGTGCATACATAACAAACATCTTGTACAAAGAAGCCTGTGTTTATATGTTAGCAGATGGTCAAGTGTAATGGAACACTCTTTTAAAAACTAGATTACAATAAATTCTCTAAAAGAAAATAACCTCAAGCCACAAAATGTTGTGGGTGCCTTTTTGCAGAGGCCAGCTTGATTTAGGTTTCTCATGTTTTAATAAAAACACTAAATGTGCAGTAGGCTAGAGTATGTATGAATTATAAGTATATATGTGTATGATAAATTTCCTGTACTTTCATAATTTTGGTGAATCTGGACATTTGCTCTGTATATTTAAACATGTTTAGATGCACTGAACACCCTCTCTCAGATGCTTCCAAATATTTCCGTTCTTTTTTCCAACAAGTTAACCACTCATCTTCCATAAGTGTTTCTCATTCCATTTTCATTTTAATACAATTTTATGTAGTCATCAAGTTAAAATATAAAGTATTTTTTTCAGTTTTTTATTTCTATAGATGTAATACTATATGTAATACTTGCAATTTTAGTGTATCATTTTAAATGCCAGGGTTTGGGGTATAAATATACTACAATGTAGTTTTTCATGACTCCAGAGACAAGATCGTTTGTAAATCATGAGATTGATTGTAAATTTTCACTATTGTAAGGGCTGCTGTAAATTAACATTATTTTATATGTTTCCTTTAGAACATAGTGGAAAGGTTTTCTAAAGTAGTCTTTCTCAGACTTCAGCACATATTAGAATCTACTAGAGATTTTGTTAAAATTCATTGCTGGGCCCCAGAGTTTCTGGTTTGGTAGATATGAATGACACTATCTCTGACAAGTTCTGAAGTGGTACTGAACCTGATGGTTTGGGAACCATACTGAGACAACTGCTGATCCAAGGTGTGTAGACCCAGCTATATAGTTGCTGGATCAAAGGGACAGCACATTTTCAATATAAATGGCAAATTGCACTCAAAAGTCTGTGTCACACTGTATGCAATTTTGAACATTATATGAGTTTAATATTCTTCTATATCTTTACTAATATTTCTGGTGGACAGACTTTTAAAAAATATTAGCCAATCTGATAATTATGAGGTATATATATTTGTACTCTTCTATTAGAGTTAACATGTTTTCAAATATTTTAAAAAATGGTTCTTTTTCTGTGAATTGCCTGTTTGCATAATTTGACCATTTTTCTGGTGTGTTGATTGCATTTTTCTTATTGATTTGTAAGGGCTCTTTATATGTTAAAGAAATTCTTGCCAGCCCTTCATTGGTAGTATTTTTTTCTAAATCTCTGGTTTGTTTCTGTGTTCTAATTTAACTGTTGTTAAGTTTTTGATAAGATTAACTTAGTTCCATTAGAATTTAATATTTTATTTAAAAATTCTTCCCTTCCTCAAGATCATAAAATTACTTTCTTATATTTTCTACCAAATTTTAAAAGATGAACTTTCTTTATTTTAATCCATCCCACTTTTATGTTGGTATATATTATGAGCTAAGGATCTCACTTTATTTTATTTTGCATAGAGATAATTACACCATCCTTTCTACACTGATTTGTGATGCTATCTCTGTCATATATCAAATATCTATATTTTATGTACATGCATCTGTTACTCAGCTGTCTTTTATGTTCAAATGCTCTGTTTATGCATTTCAATGCTGATATTACTCTTAGTTCCTACAGCTTCAAGATGTTTTATATATTACATAGCAAATTCTTAGAGCTTGTTCTCCTATTTCATAATAGTCTTAGCTATCCACAGTCCTTTGTTCTTCTCTATGAATTTTAGATCAACTTCCATGAAACGTGATGAGACTGTAGACAACTGTGTACAAAGTCACATGTCCATGATACTCTTTTCTCACACATAAAAGCATTATACCTACATTTTTTCATTCCTTATTTTATACATTTCAAAATATATTCATAACTCTGTGCAAAGCCCTGCACATTTTTAAATAATTTAAACCTAGCTACCTTACTTTACTTTTTTTTTTTTTGCTACCTTACATTTTATTTTTTGGTTATGAATGGAATTTTTCCTGTAACAATTCAAAATTTGTTATGCTGACTTCTAAAAGTGTTGGGTTTTTTACAATTTTTTTATTGCAGTATTAGGAATTGAACCCAGGGCCTCATGCATGTACTACTGAGCTATACCTCCGTCTCAAAATGGTGTGTGTGTGTGTGTGTGTGTGTGTGTGTGTTTTAATACTGATCTTATGTGCAGAAAAATTTCTACACTCTCATTACCTACAATTGTTAATTTATAGATCCTCTTGAATTGTCCATAAGCACATTCATCCTAACTCTTATACCTATACATTTTTATTATATTTTCTTATTTCTTTGGCCAACATCTGTAATAAAATATTTAAGAGCAATATTTATTCCTAATATCCTCACTTTATTTTCCCTGTGTAAGAATATTTTTTAACTATCTGTAATAAAATATTTGGTGGAAATTTTTGATTCATGCTATTTACCAGGTTAAACCTGGTCTGTTCTATCTGTTTAGTAAGTCCCCCCCCACTCCATGGGTAATATGTATATTTATTTATTTTTATTGATTTAAAAAAATAAATGACAGCGGAATGCATTATAATTCTTGTTACACATATACAGCACAATTTTTCATATCTCTGGTTGTTTATAAAGTACGTTGACATCAATTTGTGTCTTCATACATGTAACTTTGGATAATGATGTCCATAACATTCCACCATTCTTGCTAATTCCCTGCCCCCTCCCTTTCCCTCACACCCCTCTACCCTATTTAGAGTTCGTCTGTTCCTCCCATGCTCGCCCTCTTTACCCCACTATGAGTCAGCCTCCTTATATCAGAGAAAACATTTGGCATTTGTTTTTATCTGTTTAGTAAGTTTTAAGAAATATTTATCTAGTGATCACTGTCTGCAGATATGTGACATTTGGGCTTTAACCATAACCACTTGTCTAAAATAGTTGTTGTCATAGCCAACTATTAGATCTTGCATCCTGTCCATCATCTTCAGTATTTTACACTGTTTATTGGTTTTTATTATCTATTGTCTCTGATGTGTGCGTGTGTGTATGTGTGTATGTGTGTGTGTGTGTGTGTGTGTGTGACTTACTAGGCACTGGTTGTTGTCTTAAAGAAGGCCTTCAATTCTTCCCTTTCTTGTTTCTTCCTTTTCAAGGTTATTAGTTGTAGATTTCTTTCCCCAAAACTCTGTTTTTTATTGACCTTTTTTCTTTTTCATTTGGTCCTCAAAGAAATTCTCTACTTACATGACTTTCATTAATACTCACAGATGGATAAATTTAAGGTCTTGGTGGTTCCCCTAAGCTAGAATGCAGGCTACTGAACATAGACTTAGGACATAAAGATGCTGTTCATCATTTAAGTTGGTGATGTGGAAAACATAACCATTCAGCTTTCTTTGTTTACACAGGTTAAAGAGCTCCCACTTGTAAAAATTTCCTGCATTTTAAGGAATTCCTCTAAAATATACCTATTAGATGACTTTTATTGTATGCGTGGCTACTATCATATTAATTTTTTATTTTCTCATGATAGACTGATCTACATTCAAAGAGTAATTCCACGTATCCTAGAGTCCTGTGATAGGGAAGTGAGTCTATTGAAAGCTAAGCTAGGCCTAAGTAATCACAGCCTTGAACTAAAACGAGCACTCCAAAAAAATAAAATAAAATAAAGTAGTATTTTGCTGTGAGGAACTATTTTATGAGATATCCGATTCCACTCAGTGAGGTTAAAAGAGTTCATCCTACAGTCACTCTCTTGAAATCTATTATTTCTGGCTGAAACCTATGAACTTTTATTGTCTTGCTAGTCTATTATCCAATTTTTGAACAGAGTGGGTCCCTACTTACTTTTGTCTTGAGCATTCTGTCACAATAATCTCCAAGCATAATGTATGTGGATAAAGTTTTGTCATATATTTCTTGCTGATATCTGACAGGGGTAGACAGGCATTCATTTTGCATTAAAATCTGTTTTTAAGGATGCTCTGTGGCCCAGGATCTACAGGCCTTTTGCTTCTGAATGTCTTTATGACTACTATTAATCTAGAGGTGACTGCTAAAAATCAGAGGGAGACAAAGGAAAGCCATTGTAAACTCAGATTGATGTGTGTGATATCATAATTAAGAATTTGAACTTTAAGTTAGAAGAATATAAACTAAAGGTGGTTAAACTCTTAAAAATACAGATTTCTCTACTGCAAACTGGGTTTGTTTTTATTTTTATTTTTTTAAAAAGAATCTATGTCAGTAAATTCAACAAGTTCACAGTGAATACAATCAACCTATGAACTGTGCTATGTAAATGAATCACATTGAGTAGAATTGAAAAGGTTGGAGGATTTTTTGTCCATGTTAAGAAAGTCACATATGGGGCTAGGATTGTGGCTCAGTGGTAGAGCACTTGCCTAACCCGTGTGAGGCACTGAGTTTTAGATCCTCAGCACTACATAAAAATAAATAAACAAAATAAAGGTATTGTGTCCATCTACGACTAAAAAATATTTTTAAAAAATAAAGTAGCATATATACATATCCACTTGATTCAGAATGTTTAACTTAGACCATGACCTTCCATGTCAGTATATAAAGAACTAAATAGCAATATATTTTAAAATATGTTTCTAGGTATAATTTTCATGTATCAGATACTTGACAAGCAACGATAATTTCCTGATAATTTTAGTTTATTACCAAATAAACTTTTCTCTACCCTATCCCCAACCTAGCACTTTTAAAGAACAAAATCTTCAAGCTTTCTGGTCATATTTTAATATGAGATAAAGTATAGAGTCGCAAAGTTTTTTTCAACATGTGTATGAAATTATTCTCAAGAATGTCTATCATGATTGCTTTTCTTCTGTTGTTATTTAGTTACCCCTTGATGGCAGCTTCTTTACCCATTCCCACAGTTTAAGACTAAAGTAATTTATAATTTAAATAGAGGTCTGTAATGCACCTTATTATTAAGACAAATTTAATTAATATTATTTAATCACTGAAGCATGCTTCAGGTAATAGAGGACCACCACTCTATTCCTACGTGTTATTTTGTAACTCCTATACCCTCTGCCTCTGTTACATTAAGTGAAGTTTTAATATGATCTCATGTATTTGTGAACATTTCTAATGAGTTAAATTTTTCAAATGTCATAATGAGTATATCAGGATACAACATACTGTCCAATTTGGCTTATATTACAGAGAAAAAGTAAAAATAAAAAGCTTGCCAGGATTTCTCTTTGAAAGTAATGCAATAATCTTTAATAGCCTAAATTATCTTAAAAAAACACCCATAAGCTTATTCTAGATAATGTAGTTCAACATTTAGTAAGTTGAAAGACCTATGTTTTTCATGGGTATTTTTGGTCCTAAATTAAACCAATTAACCAAATAGAGGCTTCATCTTTCTATGACCTGAACATAAATATATATGTGTCAGTCAGCTTTTCATCACCATGACCAAAATCCCTGACAAGAACAATTTAAAGGAGAAAAAGTTTCTCTGGGGCTCATAGTATCAGAGGTTCAGTCTGAAGTCGGTGGAATCCTTTACTCTGGGCCTGAGAGGAAGCAGAACATCATGGTGGAAGGATGTGGTGGAAGAAAGCTGCTCAGCTCATGGCAGCCAAAAAAGAGGAGAGAAAGTGGAAAGTCAGGGACAAAAACAATTCCCCAGAGCATGACTCCCTGTGACCTACTTCCTCCAGACACACGCCACTTGTTCACGGTTACAAGCTGGTAATCCATCCAATTATTAATCACTATTGAGGTTAGAGCTCTCATAATCTACTCATTTCACCTCTGAACATTCCTGCAGCCCTGCCTGAACGTTTTGGGGGACATCTCATACCCACATCCTAACACATGTTTGGTTATAATAATGAATACTTGAGGATAATGATGATAAACAATTCACATGCAGTGCCAAGTGTTTAAAATAATTATATTTAAATGAGCTGTTTTATTGAAATATAGGTACAGAAGATTTCTCAAATCCATACATTGACTGTTGAAGTTTTACAAAGAATCCCACACACATAACCCAGATCACAACCCAGAACATAACATAGTTAGCATATTCTTAACATGTTTTTAGTCAAATATCAAAAGATTTCTGTGAACCTTGTTGGATATCAAGTGTTTGGTGAATTTTCTTAATTTTTACATTCTGAAAAATATGCCAAGCAATTATCCACATTACCAAAAAAAAAAAAAAAAACAACAGTTTTCAGTAACAGAATATATTAAATTTAAATGGTAGAAGTTTTAAAAAATTGTTTTTATAGTTAATTTAAGTTTATTCCATTGAAAATAACCTTATTGTAGTAATTCTGTATGGTATTGCTAAGCTAGCTGTTAAAGAGCAAAAAGTGCATTGCTTTGGTTACACTTCCACTGTTTTTGGTTTTTACATTGAATTTCTGAGACAGAGAGAGAGAGAGAGAGAGAGAGAGAGAGAGAGAGAGAGAGCACACTGCACGGGGGAACTCTTTCTTTCACTATAGAGATCCAGTATGAAACATTCCATTGCTAAACATTGCGCCCACTGTATTCCAATGCAGTGACATGTTTCCATGTCACATGGGCAGAGGGAGGTAGAGTAATAAGGAGTTCTAGCTGGAAATTTCTTTCCTGTTATTGTTCTCCCTCCGCAGTTGATGGCTAAGTTAATTCTCTTTAGTTTTGTCATGCTCTGAAGCACACATTGCCAGGCAATGGTAAGCTTTATGGGGGGGGGGGGGAAAGAAAGAAAGAAACCACAATGTCCATCAAAGTCTTCAAGTTACATTTTTAAACTTTGGCCTGACCTGATGTGCCATTCAAAAAAGCTTCAAAAGATTATTTTTTAAAGAAAGGTTCAATATGTCCCGAGGCTATCGGTTTTGAGTTAAACTGGGTGAAGTAGAAATATTTTACTCATCAGCTTTGCAGTCACAGAGTTTGCCTCAGCTAGAACAAAACTGCTGAGGCATTTAGAGAAAATTAACCCCCCATCCTGGCGGCCAGATGTGACTGGTTTCTGATGAATGCACATGAGTGGGCTGAAAAATCAAGGGAGTGTGAAATTCCTGTCAGGTCCGTACAGAGCAGAATGGGCCATTGACTGCTTTCTATATTTCCCTCCATCATTCTTCTTGAACACTGCCATTAATTTCCTCTCCTCCTCTGACTTGTGTTTTTTCCCCTCCCTCTTGCCTTTAGCTCTGTCAGCTGCAGAGAAAGCTCCACAAACAGTGGCAGGAGTACTTCAAACTGGTGGTCCTCTTCAGCCAGATACAGCTGGACAAGTTCCAGGCAGAATCTCAGGAGGGTATTCAGAAAATATTAGCTGTGCAGGTAGGTGATTGCAGGGAAGTAGGAAAGATCATTCTGATCTAGATTGAAAAGCAAATGATGGGTAGTGTGATGAAGCATTAAAACCATATCCCATCAGAGTTTTATAAATTTTTAACCTCTTTAATAAACTGGGATTGCATGAAGGATGAATTCAGTAACTTAGTACATACACCATGCATACTTTGGGGGAAAAGGGAGATTTGACTTATTTCTCACAAACCTCAGAACAGATTTTTATACATACATTTGGCATAAGTGTATTTTTTTTTTTTTCCTTTCAAATCTTCAGGCTTTGCAGATGCCATTTCGGCTGTTTAAAAGATGTTGACAACAGTTACTTTGCGACACTGTTGTGCGAAATCTGCTTCAGTGAAAACCCTCTTATATTTATTCTGTTTAACTATTGTCTTTCCTTTTTTGCTTTGCAAGAGGCTTGTCCTCCCATGCAGATTTGGAGATGACTCTGTTTGAAAAATAAGCCATTTGGGACTAGCATGTAACTGTGGTTCTACAAGCATGTGACATTTTGCCATCTTTGTTTCTGTAAAAATATTTAGTGAATCAACTGCCTTTAAGACGGAAATATTTTAGAAATCCCTTTGATGACTATTACTGCAATATTTCTTAAAATATTTCAAATGAATGTTTTTAAAAACCATTTTCGATAACTTACAATATAAGCAATGAATGCCAAACTCTAAACCAAATCTTTTTTTTTTTTTTTAACATTTTCATTTCACATGCACGTTATGGTGCTTTTACTACAAATAAGGAAAAGTGCTTTGCAAAACATTTCTGAAGCTACTAAGCTATTTCAAATTTCATTTTCACTGATGTCTATTTTCTACTGATGATGGCACATGTGTGCATGTGTGCTGTATATATATGGGTTCCATTGATGATGGATTATAACAAAAAGTTTTAAAAATAGAAAATTAAAAGAAAGCTTTTAAAAGGGAGTGATTAACACATGTAGGTTAACAAAAATTTATTTACAAACTTGAGTATAAACTACAATTTCATTAGTTTAGAAGTCAGGAGCATTTTGTTTTCCTTAAATTGTCTGTTAACATATAATGCATTAATAATTATGTGGTGGCTATGGCCTGTGATTTCCTTTTAAATATTCACAGGTTATCTGCACATTCTGATTAGTCTAAGAAAAAGTTCCATACTTCTGCCCAAATATAAATGCTCTTAAAAATCTTACAAATAATCAATTCTCACTGTGAATTATGATGTATTTTTTTAAATACTGAAAATAACATTGGAATATCTGTGAGTTTTTAATCCATAACCTTCAACAATATTTATTCTAATTTTCATCAGAAATTCACCAACATATTCTTTACCCAATTTGGTTTTAAATTGCTTATTTTTATGGCTATTACATACAATGGAAATGAAGGGACAGGCTAGGCTAGGTGGGAACATCTACCTGGCATCTAAAGACACAGCAGCCAGCTTGGATTTTGTTTAGGAAACTCGAGGAGCAAGAAGTTAGTGTCTTCTTATCTGCAAAAAAATACCTTTAATTTAGTCTTTAATAAAAATGTAAAAAGCAAGTCTCAGAATCATGCTACAAGACTGTGCAGAGATGTGCAATCCTCTGGGTGGGAGTGAGGATGGAGTCTAAAACATTTCAGTGTGGTGCACACTGACCTAGGCGCCCCAGCTGCTGCTAGCCTTCCCAGCCCCAATCTCCCTCCACATTAAGTCCTTCAGTCTCTTTCTGCCACTCCAAACTTCTCACTCATCATGACACTTGCTGTATAAGCCTTTCTTTCTCTCCTATGAGCAAGCTCTTCTTTCCGTAGTACTCTTCTTTGTCTTATTTGTTAAGGAACACCTCTCTTAATTCAGTCACCTGGTCTACAAAGTCTTCCCTGAGTCCTTCCCCCACCTGCCATTGCCACATGAATCAACTTCTGTCTTCTTGGACCAGCTGCTGCACATTGTACACATCATTATATTACAAGTGTATTTCCATCTGCTAACTTGCCCTGCTTGTGCACAAGTGCTCCTTTCTAGAAGTTACTAAGCTCTTTCAGGGCCTTACTCCATGAGTGAAACCCATTCAGTTCTCCCTCAGTTGTTTTTAGGGTGGAGAGAAGCTAGGTAACTAAAGGAATTTGATAGAACCACATGCCTACCTTTGTTTGGGTTTATATTCCACATTTTTTTTAAAGAAAAACCTGTGATATAATATATTTGTGGAGTGAGTTTGTGGGTAGCAGTATATACAGTTGATTCAATATGGCTAAACATCGCTTAACAGACCAAATGCTGTTGTTCTCCATTTTCATGATTTAGCCTCAGGATTCCTTTAAGTGTCAATTTAGAGGAGAATAAATGATGCTTTATATTTTGAAATTGTATTCAAGTGATACCATAAGATATTCATGAAGTATTGGATAAGAAAATTATTTGATGAACCTTTTGAAAAATTAATTGTGTATAACTGATATTGAGCTAAATCAATTCAAAATAAATTTTACACAGTTAAAAAAAATTCTTCATCCTTGCACACTTGGAGCAATTCCTTTCAGGACCACTAAAAGGCAGTGATACAGATCTGTAGTTGGCAGAATACCAGGTGGACCAGATAAGCTTTTAAATGACATGATCAACCAGAAACCCGTAAGATGAATGGTAACTGGAATAAAGAATTGGCACATTTTACTTCAAAGCTTTTTCTATGAAAAAGATTTAGGGATTTTAGTTGACCCCAATTTTAATATGAGCCAAAGCAAACTATTACCGCCTGGGAACCAAAAGCATGGGCTAGCACTAGCAGTCATATAAGACTTTTTCACTCTGACAGTGTTTGGCATATTTAGTGTGATTATTATTCAATTTTTCTATCATTCCTTGTTTTATCTTCAATATGTTTAACTGGTGATGTTTAATGCTTTTATGGCATCTTATTTAGAAAAAAAGGCCAAGCACCAATGAGTCGTTCAAATGAGAGATTGTGATGTAACTATAGGGCCTTAGTGTGATCTAGTCTCAGTAAGCAAATATCTTTTTGTCTGGACTTTTTCTTAAAGTGGGTATGTCTGCAGGATTTTATATAGTTTGGAAAGCATAGTTTTAGGACCATATTGACACTCTAGAGAGCAGCACTACAAGAAGATCAAGGAGAGGGAGAAATACAGAAAATTTGAATACTTAACCATAAAAGGAAAAGGCTTTGAAAAGTCAAATATCTGAAGGGCTGTAAGTGAAGGTTTGTATATACTTTATTGAGCTCTAGAAACCATTGGGACCAAAGAATGGAAGAGGTTAAAAGATGGATTTGGGCCAAACAAGAATAAATTTGCTTTTGAGTATTGCTGTCCAAATGCACACTATTGATGCTCAACCAGAAGGCAGACGAACACAGACCAGGTGTGTTAGGAACTACACTGGTTGAGGGGAAGCTAGTAGGCTGAGTCAGAGGCACATGCTTAGGGCTGTACTTCTCCTAGGCTGTCACCTTGACCTCTATGCACACATATTGGTGTGCCGTGCCTCTCTACCCAGTAGTACGTAAGCCTTCTCAACTAATATTCATGTCTTATTTGTTCATCTTTGTCTCCCTGGAACCAACTACATTTCTGGAAATGTGATGAGTACAAAAATTTTGTTGAGTTAATGAATTGATTATTAAGATAAATATGATAAGCTCAAAGGTTCTTTCCAGCTCTAGCTGCCTGCAATTTTGCATGTTAGTAAACAAAAACATTTGCTAGTTGTTTTGCTGGGAATTTTAATGGCACAGAAGTGATATTTTCATTCATTTAACATGTGTGCACGTGCACACACACACACACACACACCACAAAATGCACATATAAATAAATACATAAAGCCAACCTAAGTTCCAGTATCTGGAAGGGAAATGAAAGGAAGCCAGAAAAAAAACACAGAACAAAAATCCCAAATCATTTAGCAATATTATATAAAAGAAAATCTGAATCTTTGTAAAATCTACAGAACTTATTTTAAAATATGTATTTTGAACTTTTGAAATATATACATTTAGAGATACTATGTTTGAGGAATAATATTGCTAAATCTTACTGTTAAATTGTAGATAATAATAAATATAGTTGCAATAATTTAAAATGTCTGTTAGAGGTCTGGAAATAAGATTTGTCATTCCAAAACTACAAGAGAGGAAATAAAAGTACCATAAAAATTGAACAATTCAAACTGCAGGGCAGAAAAAGGAAGGGCATTGAAATATACAAAGAGCAAATGCATTAGTGATTATAATTACTGTAAATAGTTTCCTTTCACAGTTGAAAGCTGTAGATTTACAGATTAGTCATAAAAGTAAAAGCCATGTTATTTAGAAGAGATGTACCTCAGACAAATAGAAATTTAATAAAAAGCATGAAACAAAAAGGTCTAATCTAAAAGAAGAGAAACTTTGAGGCAAAAAATAATTAGACGCTCAGATTTGAGTATTTATATTGATAAAAGATAAAATCTGTTATGATCTATCAATCATGAACTTAATGCACATGACAGCATAGCTTCAGAATATATGAAGTAAGATCTGGTTTGAGCCCAAGAAAAATTTCCTATCACAATGGGAAATATTAGCATATATTCTTGAATTTTTTAAAAGTAGAAGAAAAAAGAACATCACTTATATATTCGCAAAGAGATCCAACTGTAGAAAATATATATATAACTATATAAAGACAGATTAAAGGGAAAGGCTATGTTTTGTTCAAGATATACTGAGAAACAATTGCTAACAAGAGCAACAGTGTATTCATTCTAATAAAAATAACAAAACAGTTTAAAAAATATAATCCTTAACCTCATAAAATGATCTTGATAACTTGATAAATGAGGCACAGAGATACTGCTTAAGAAAAGGGCAAGACTATCATTATTTTCTGATACTATTGTGTTTTTGTTATCTAGGAAAATAAACTGAAAAAAGCAATAGAACTAATGAGACAGTTATTTAACATGACAACCTGAAATATAAAGCTCCTAAG